GCGGGCAACAGGCCCCAGGCAGCGAGCGTCGAACGGATGAGGGGAGGATCAGGGGACCAGAGGAGGCTCGAAAGCGAGGGGCAGCTGAGGTAGTGGGGACATGAATCTGGCTGGCTCCCGCACCCGAAAACGCACTGTTTTGGGGCCAGCACGTGCATGCGGCCAGCGCCAGCTGGGGCGCACCTTTTTGAATGATTCCGTGAGCTCTGCCCAACGCTTTTGGAGCTCTCCTGGCGCCGACGGCGCCTGGGGGCCCCAAAGCCGTGGTGCGTTTGCGAGAGCTTGCTCTGCAAGCTTGCATGCGAACGTTCGTTCGTATTTCGGGCGGCGCGGTGGGGCGGCAGCGGCGGCCTCGCGCTGTTCGAGGCGCGCGGTGTGCAAAGCGTCTGTGACGGCTGGGCGGGAAAACGGCTTCTGAGGCTGGGCTCCGATGAGGGAGCGATAGTAACTGTACGATGGACTGCTGAGACGACCGGAAAGCGGGCGACCACACGCCAGCCTGCCAGCGAGGCGCGTTCTGAAGGGTGGTTTCCTCCCATGATGCGTCAGCGAGGCGATCAGCAAACGGCTCCCAGTCACCCGCGAGAATGACGGCAGCAGAACGGGCAGCGGCAGCGACAGATGTGACCTGAGCGGACTGTGGGACGGGCGGTGGGCTCCACCACGCCATGGCTATGAAATCAACTTAGCGAAGTGAGTTCGGCGGGTGGCTAAGCATCTCATGGAAGACATGCAAACCGCGGCGGGCGATCAGCGGCTGAAGCAGGAAGATCTGGGCGACATAGCTCAGCGTGGACAGGGCTGAGGTATTGTAAAGGCGGACTGTGGCGACACTGCCACCCTGCCACCATTTTGCCCAGGTGCGAGCCACTGCGAGGCAGCGAGGCTTCGGGACCGAGGAACGTGCAAAGATATTTGGCACAGCCTGCAACCGAGAAACCACCCCAGGGAGGTCCGAGCTCGGCCAAATTGGATTTGGTTTGGGCAATGGTGTCTGCGGTCGCCGCGGCCCAGAGCGGAACGATGAAACACTTGCGAGGCTTAGCTCTCCGGCCGCGGCAAAGGGCTCAGATGCGCGGCGCAGCGCGTCGAAGGAGCATGCCAGCAGCCCGATGTCGCCCGCGTTGGCGCCGATGTAGCCAGCGCCCAGATTCGGCGCGCCGTCGCGATGCTCCACGAACGTGGCGAGGTGGCGGATGAGCGCGTCCATGGCGATGGCCCAGGCCGGGCCCGAAGCAGGACAACCCTGCGCAACTCCAGACTCTATGGCGAACATGGAGTGCCTGACGCCGTCGATCTTGATGTAGCTGTTCGGCGCGTAGCACAGCGAACGGAACGTCCACGAGGCCAGTTGGGACCCCGAAGTACCCCAGCGCCGAGAGGAGCCAAACCCGCCCCCAAGGACGGGAAGGCGGCAAAGAAGTCGAAGCTCGCGAAGACGGGTTTGGCCTGAGGAGCTCCATGGAGTAGACCTGCGCGCCGCATCTCAGTCGAAGCGAACGATGTGCTTGGTGAAGTTGCGCTTCTGCACGAAGCCCTGTTGCGCTACGTGGGTGCGCTGTGCCACGGCGCCCTTGATGAGGTAGTTGGCTGTCCCAGCGGTGGCCTCATGTCAGTGTTATTCAGCGAGAGCGGGCGGGCATCTTCAGGAGCTCGGTCTGTCGCGAGTTCGCCAACGGCGTTGTCGCCCTTCGGCAGGAAGGCGAAATCGGAATCGCTCAAGTCGCGGATGTAATGCTGGACAGAGCAGAGGAAGAAGGACACGTCCTCCAGGAGGGTCAACAAGGCATCGTGCGCGAGCCAGGCGGAGCACGGCAAACTGTCGGGTCCTGGTGCTGACGGCGAGGTGCGCTGCAGGAAGGCCTTGATGTGCGGCTTCGCGGGGGGCCCAATGTCCAGGATCTCGCCCTTCGGCATGCGCGCGTGGACGCAGTTGGTGGCCTTGGTCTCGTCGACGGGCTTGGCGGCGAAGACGGGCTGCCAGTGGTCGCGCAGGGCGGTGACCATCGTGCCACTCCCCCTTGCTATATCGGGCCCATCTGGACCCGTGACTTTGATTCCCTGGAGGACGAGACGGTGCTTCCAGGGAGACCAGAGGAGAAGGATCTCACGGAGTTTCTCAGGGGCCAGGGCGCCAGCGTGCCCCAGAGAACGCTGCGCGGCTTGCTGCGCGAGAGAGAGTTGCCGCGCCTCGAAGTCGCGGTTCCGCTGCGAAGCGAGGCCGGCAAATACGGCAGGCTCGTTGATCGCGACGATGCCGTTGGAGACGTTGACGAACTTGGCGCCGACTTCGGTGGCGGGGGCGACTCTGCGGGCCAGTTGAAGGTCTCGGCGCCAAATGGCACGTGAGATGGAGCGCATCGCGTAGACCCTGCCGGCCAGGAAGCCTGCCCCATTGGCTTCGCGGGTAGTTCGTCGGACCCAATCGTCCCCAACCAGCTTGGCGGCCTCCGTCGCGAGGCGCTCGCGGGGGCGCCAGCGGCTGTCTAGCGACGCGCGGTCGAAGTTGGTGGCGTCAAGGGGCTGCTGGATGTAGGCGGCGCAATTCGGGCCGCGGAAGATCGAGGGCTTAAGGCCTGCTCGCCCTTAGGAGTGCGCGGCTTGATGCCGATGGAGAAAGCGATGATGGCGTGGTCGCTCAGGAGACCGCCCGAGAGCAGCGCGGCGTCGTGCGCCCCGCTCGCGTGGATCGAGAGCTCCTGGGTGGCGTGCGAGGGCAGGCTGATGAAGATGCGGTCGATGGTCTCGGCGGTGAAGTTCGAACGGCTGAAGCGCGCGGGGAGCTCAGTCTCGATCTCAAGCACGGAGTCGACGAGAAACTTCCAGAAGGGCTGCTGCTGGCGCATGCTGTTGTCCAGTGCAAGCCTGGCGCGCTGCGTCTGCGGCTGCAGGGCGCCCCGCGGCGGGCGGCTGGATGCATTGAAGTCCCCAGCGGCGATGAAGGTGCGCACGCGGTAGTTAGCTTCCGCCCAGGTGCGATGCAGCTCCCAGGCCTGCTGGACCTCGCGGCGTCCAGCGTCGGCGATCTCGTGATTGTGCACATTCATAAGGGCCAAGGTGGCACGCGCGACGGCGCGCGTGACGGCCACCAGCTGGACACGAACAGGAACGAGTTCTTCATGAGCGAATAGCGGGGGCTGGTTCGGCTGCAGCTGCTCGGCCTCCATCGGGGTAAACCATGGGACGAGCCCGGCGACCCCGCCCGGGGCATTCGGTCTGTCGCCGTCGGCGCGCGAGACCTCCGAGAAGAAGAGCTTGTACGGGCACGGCTGCGTGTCGACCCAGGTGCGGAGCAGGGCCTCCGAGCCGTGGACCTCCTGCAGGGTGATGATGCACTTGCGCTTCATATACTTCGCAAGGGCGGCCTGCTTACGACGGCGGCGCTTGTTCTCGTAGCGCATGAGGGCTTTGGCATCCCACGACGTGGCACTAGTGGTCGGCTCGGCAGCGCCGTCAACGCCCCACGGAGTCCAGGGACGGTTCGGAACGCCACGTCGCCGTCTCCGTGTCAGCAAAGAGCGCCTGGAAAGAGGTGATGACGTTGCCGCGATCGGTGTGCTGGAACTGCGGGTGGTTGGCGGCCTGGTCGTTCCACTGGGCAATGGATGGACCGGCTTGACCTCTGACGAAGATTCTGACAATGGGCATTGAGTCAGCGTGCATTCCGCCTTTGGTCCTGAACGCTCTCCATCTCGTCCTTGGGCATCGTCGCTGCATGGGCTGAGGTAGTTTCTTTGTTTGGACTTCTGCACGGATCTGCTTGGGCGGCTTGTCGGGGGTTGAGGTATATGTCGCAGTGCTGCCCAGAAATGTCTGTCGACGTGAACCTTTTCTACTTCCCAGCGGCGTCTCGGAGGGCACGTGATAAGGCAAGGGCGCGTGGCGCTGCAACAGTTTTGTCTCCGTTGACTTGTAGTGTGAAGCGGCGAGCAGGTTCGCCCCGGGGAGTTCGACATGGTTTGACTGAAGGTTGGCTGCTGCGATCCACTCCTGGAGGTCGTTGAGCAGCAAGTCTGGCGCGATGAGGCGCTGGCTGCCGATCGCGAAGAGCATCGGGTCGGGCTGTCGGCTCCAGTCGGCAAGGAAGCTGAGGTCGGCGATCGGCGTCTGGGCTTCGGCAAGGGCGAGCGCGTCGCGCATCTGGTCGATATGTTGCCACATGCGTTGATGTTCAGCAACTTGGCGGCCTTGTACTCTGCGAGTGCGGGCAACTTCGTCGTGTAGAACGCCAACGCAGCGTTCGGTAGCGGCAACTTGTCGCTGCACGAGGAGTCTGAAACTTTCACGAGATTCGGCGGGTAGCTGGTCGGCTTGAGCTTGAAAACGAATAGCGGCTGTGGCGGCTTGGCGTTGCATATGTTCACGCAGGGCGACGTCCAGATCTTCAGGTATTTCAGGAAGCGGACCATTTCGCTCAGGAGGTGCAGGATGCTGCTCTGGAAGAGGTGCGGAGTAACTATGGGCTGGTGCGGCTTATGCGGCGGCTGCGGCGGCGCCCTCTTGAGATGGAAATGCAGGTGCCAGCTCGATGTCGCGCGCGAGCTGTGAGCCGAAGCTTCAATTGGCCCAGGGGTCGGCGGCGCCCAGGAGCGGATCAGCAGGAGGAGGACCATTCGGTGGCGCACATTCATCTTCCATGGCCCCGGGGGTGGCTTCGGCAGCGGCACGGCCCCCAGATCAGGCTGAGGATCGCGCTGTGGCGGGCGGCGGTCTCGCAGCGCTTCGGCCAGTAGCGCGTGAGGGAGCACCTGCGCGGCCTTGGCTGCTGAAGCCCGTCTGGCCAAGCGCCCGAGATGTTCGCGAGCTGCACGTCGACCATTTCGGCGAGGCTCTTCACGGCGGGGTTGGCGGTCGTCACCACGTTCGGGACGGCGAGGCTCGTCGCGGCGATGTTGTCGGTCTTCGCGTCTGCTGCGGGACGTGGATCCATTCGATGCGGAATGGTTTCGGCCTGATGGAACGGCCGACATGGTGTCGAAGCAGCTGGTCGTAGTGGAAGCGGGAGCTGGAAGCCAAGCACCTGCAGATATCCTTGTCCAGAACGTAGCGGCTGTGGCACAGGTCCAGGAGGCGGTAGCTGAACGAGGCAGCTTGGCTCGCGAGCAAGGGTAATGGAGATCTCCGTGCAGCACAGCGCGGCGAAGGACAGCAGCTTGCCCAGCGAGGGAGCGAATATGGATGGGCGGTCGCTAGCCCGTGATTGTGGCGGCAATAGTGAAGGGCGGCCGCTAGCACGAGATTGTGGCGGCAATCGACTGGATGCTGGATCGCTCGGGAGCCTACCCTGCGAAGGCAATGAATAGAACGCCAGGAGGAGGAGGATGAGGAAGGATAGGAGGATGAGAAGGAGAAGGAGGAGGAGAAGGAGGAGGAGAAGGAGGAGGAGGAGGAGCAGGAGGAAGAGGAGGACGGCGCTAACGGAAGTACTTGCTAGCGTGTGCGCCCCTCACCTGGCGGAGTCCCCGAAGTCGACCGAAGCCAGCTGTCGTGCTAAAGGTCAGGGCGTCCCCTGTGGGGCACGAGCGCGACGTTGCGAAGACCCAGGTCCGGCCACAGAGCAGGGAGCGTCCGAGCAAGCGATTGAAAGGGCAGGAGCGGCGGAAGAAGGGGAGGGATGAGGAGAGGAAGGGGGAGGAGGAGGAGGGGAAGGGATGAGGAGGGTAGGAGAGGCGGAAGAGAGGGAGGGATGAGGACAGGAAGGGGAGGGCTGAGGAGGGGAAGGGAGGCGGAAGGAGAGGAGGACGAGGGTGAAGAGGGAGGCAGAGCAGGAGCGGCCCGAAGAGGAGCAGCAGGAGGGGAAGCAGCAGGACGGAGGACGACACCAACGACGGCGCCGAGGCCAGGGCGACAACGAACGCGACGACCTAGACGACGAACATCGCAACATGACGACGACGATGACGACGACGACGACAACGGCGGCGGCGGCGAACGACGGACGAACCTCGACGAACGACGGACAAGCCTCATCGGGGCGCGCCGATGCATTGACGGTCTTGTCTCGGCGTGTGGGTTGTCAAACCGAGTCCGGTACGGGGCGCGCAAGCATGAAACAAAACAACCATCTGGCCAGCAGAACGGGAAGTGCAACGAGCTGTATCTCATCGGCGAGGTATGCGAACAGCGCTGCGAGCACCGCAACGAACACCAGAAAGACCGCAGACGCAAAAAAGGCAAAAGCATCAAGGAGCAGAATTCGAGGCCAACCGTCCGAGCCACTACGAAGATGCCGATCGTGCCGATGCAATCGGCAGAGTGAAGTGGTCAGATTTCAAGAGCTGGCAACAAAGATGGACCAGAACGATGGTCCTGCACACAGGCGAAAAACAGCGTACCGCTATCGAACCTGCCCAACGGACACGCCGATGCAATAACAATACTTTTCTGTGGTAACGGTGGCCAACAAACTACGGGGCAAGCCGACACAACATAGCAATCAGCGAGCAAGCAGAACAACAAGTACGCACGAAAAACACCGCGACGAACAAGAGTAAGACCGGGCATGCATGACACGCCAAAGACATTGTCCTGCAAAGATCTGGGTAAGTCGCACTAGCGCCTGCAACGATGCCGAGACGATGTAAGAAAACGCTACAGCGGGGTGAAGATGCGTAGTTCTGGATTGGCAAAATCAGAACCGACACAGACGAAGCACACCGATAGGAATCGCGTATGACGTACGACGATGACGTACGACGACGGCGACGGCGACTGCAATGGCGACGGCATCGGCGACGACTGCGGGGGAAACGGGCGAGGCGCCGCGCAGATCGTCGAATGGCCACCGATGGACGCCGCAGGCCGCCCAGGGCAGCCGCCGGGCCTCCCTCCCAGGACAGACATCGGGCACCCAAAACGACGCAGCAACGGCCACGGCGGCGTACTCCGACGTGGCCGGCGGCGCCGGAGAGGGCAGAGGCGGCGGCCGCGACGAGGGGGTCGACGCACGACGCCGAGCGCAAACGACTGCGACGGCGGCGACAGCGGCGGCGACGAAGCAGACGAAGAGGGCGACGACGAGAACGACGGCGGCAACGACGACAATGACGACGACACGGACAAAGACGACGACGAGGAGGGCAACGACGACGACCGCGTGGAACGACGACGGCAACGAGAGCGACGACGACCACGACGACCACGACGACGCGGGACGACGACGGCGGCGATAGCGAGGGCGACGGCGGCGACGACGCGGGACGACGACGGCGACGTTGGCAAAGGGCGACGGCGCTGCGCGACGCAGAGGACGGCGACGACGGCGGAGGGCAGGGCGCCGTCCTGAACGCTGCGCAGCTCGCGCTGCAGCCGGCGCACGCAGGTGGCGGGGTGCATCGGGGCGGAGAGGAAGGGAAGGGGCGCGGCTGGCTGGGGGTGCCGAGGAAGGGAGGACGAGGGAGGGACGGAGGACAAAGAGGAGGAGGGAGGAGGAAGAAGGAGGACGAAGGAGGGAGGAGGACGAAGGAGGAGGACGAACGAGGAGGGAGGACGAAGGAGGGAGGAGGACGAAGGACGAAGGAGGAGGACGAGGAGAAGGGAGGAGGACGAGGAGGAGGGAGGGACAGAGGGCAGAGAGGAGGAGGGAGGAAGAGAGAGAGGGGTGGGGGAGGGAGGGAAGCAGGGGGGGCGACGAGGGTGAGGAGCAGGGGGAGGACGAGGAAGGGTGGAGGGCTTGAAGGCCAGATTTTTTGTGAGTGCTGCCCTTCAGGCTCTGGAGGCAGCTCAGGATGGAGAAGGGAGAAGAGGAGGAGGAGGAGGAGGAGGAGGAGGAGGGTGGAAGAGGGAACGGAAGGGGAAGAGAGGACGAGACGGCGAAGGAGGCGGAGAAAACCGAAGGCCAATTTCCAAGCTGGCAGCCGAGACTGACTACGAAACTCAGCCTGCTCATGAACCTGCTATCACGCATGCTGCTGCTACGCGAAGGGGACGGAGGAAGGAGTATGAGGGGAAGGAGTGGGAGATAGAGAGAAGGAATGTGGTGGAGGGAGGTCCAGGGGGAGAAGGGCAGGGGGGAAGGAAAACAGAAAGTGGGAACAACGGGAATGGCGAGGAGGATGACAGGGAGGAAGAGGGAGGGAAGTTGAGCTATTAGGATACCGGTCTGGGGTGCTCCAGGGAAGCATGCATGTAGTATGGCTTCCACCTGCTGATCTGGGAGTCTTCAGGACCCTGCGAAGACGTATGGAGGGCCATGGCTGGCTCTGAGCGGCGCCAGGGGGTCCGGGAGACCCGATGGTGGAGGCGGGAGGGGGCGAGCAGGACGAGAAGAGGAGGGCAACGGGGGAGGGGAAGGAGGACGAGGGGTGAGAGAAGGGGGGGGGGAGGAGGGGGAGCCCAAATTGAGCCTCCACGGGCAGCTGTCGCCCCGCAGGGCGGTGAGGAGGCAAGAGGGGGGAGGGAAGAGGGAGGGAGGAGGGATGGAGGCGGGGGGAGAGGGGGGAGGGAAAAGAGCGACGAAAGGCGGGATCGGGAGGAGGAGGAGGAGGAGGAGAGGAGGAGGAGGAGGAGGAGGAGGAGGAGGGGAGGGGCAGGAGGAGGAGGCGGAGAGGAGGACGAAAGGACGGAGGAGGGATGGAGGCAGGCGAGGGAGGGAGAAAGGGAGGAAGGGAGGGAGGAGGAGCAGGGAGGAGGATTAGGGCAGGATGGGGAGGGGAGGGAGGTAGGCAGGGAGGGAGGAGGGGAGGGAGGGGAGGGTAGGGAGGGAAGGAGGGAGGGGAGGGAGGCAGGGAGGGAGGGAGGCAGGGAGGGAGGGAGGGGGAGGAGGCAGGAGGAGCAGGGTGCCCCGCCGGCGCGGGGCGCCGCCCGCCGACCTGGGAGCCTCGGCGGCGGCGGCCGGCGGAGGCCGCGCGCCCTGCGCCGGGCCTCCCTCGGGGCGGGCAGCTCGGGAGCAGCAGCAGCAACGGCCGCAGCAGCAGCAGCAGCGGCAGCCTCGGTCCGCCTTCCAGGGCAGGTTCGCAGAGCGAAAGGCCTGGAAGTGGGCACCGACACCAGCACCAGGGGGGGCTGCCTCCACAGGGGAGCGGTGATCCTCGACTCCGGTGTTGGTGGTAATGGTTCGGTCACCCTGGAAGCCAGAATACTGCCACCATCACCGAGATCGGGGTCTGCTTCCCTCGGTGGAAGCACGCCGCCGATCTTGGTGTTGGTGTTAACCTCTAGGCCTGCGATAGAGCTAGAGTTCTTGAGCTCGAGCTCTCGACGACCTGAAAGTGGCGTCCAGGGTCTTCGAAACGAAAAAGACGTGGCGTGTGCCGTGGAAGTGCGGCTCCTATTTCGCACGGCAGCGACTCGCAGGGCGTGGCAGGCTCTTGCTGCGGAGGAGCCCGGAGGAGCCCGTGCCGGGCACCCTGGACCCAGGCCTCCTGCGCCATTGCTTCGTCAAGCTCTTGGTCCCCAGCAGAACCTGTCCGAAAGCGGTCGTTGCTGACGCGCTGCATGAGGTTCACTACCAGTGACAAGAGGCGTGAATTTGTTGGATGCCCCCATGTTTCGACCTGAGGTCAATCGGTGGAAACATGTGTGTTTGAGCCTCCCCCAGGACGTCAGGTGCACATCAGTGGGGGCTTGCATATCAAAGCCACCGTTTTAGGTTTCACGCTGGGTTGGGGATTATTTCTGGGCGACCTGTGGAAGCTCTGCGGTCCAACAGTTGGCCAAGCTCGGGAATCATGTCCGCCAAGCGGAGCTCCATGAAATCGTATGTATGACCTCACTAAGGCTAAGGCTAAGGCTAAGGCTAAGGGCCACACGCGAGGCTCGATAGCCCTTAGTGTATTCGACAGAATCCAATACCCGTAACTCCGTAACTCCTTCCCCCATCCCCCGTGTTGTCCCTTCCCCATTCCTCCTCCTCCTCCTCCTCCTCCTCCTCCTCCTCCTCCTCCTCCTCTTCCTCTTCCTTCTCCAAAACAATTACAAAAGATAATTGTACTACACTCCTCGCTCCCCTAACTTTGTCCAGAGAGTCTCCTGTCCTCTCCGCGAATCGGTGTTTGTTCGTTTCCTATGTGTTGATTCAATCCGGTCTTTTCTGGCTCTTCCAAAAAATTGTGCTCCCGCTGCAGCGCTGTCCTAATTTCCGCGCTACGGTCATTCGAAATCGTGCTCCCGCTGCGACGCTGGCCTCGTTCCCGCACTTCCGGTTGTTCCGAGTCGTGTTCCTGCAGCAGCACTGGCCTGCTCGGTACCTCCAGGTAGCGCTGTCGCTGTAGCGCTGGCCTGGTTCCAGTGCTTCGGTCCTTCCCAATCGTGCTCCCGCTGCAACGGTGGCCTCATTCCCGTTCTCGGTCCTGGCCTCGATCCCGCGCTCGAGCCCTTCTAAACCGTGCTCCCGCTGCAGCGCTGGTCTCACTTCCGTCGGTCCTGGCCTCACTCCAGCCTTCGGTGCTCCCGACTCGTGCTGCAACGGTGGCCCCTTCTCCCTGTTCTCTGTCCTTCCCGGCCGGGCTGTTGTTGTGCCCCCTGCTACAGGTTCTGCTGGGGGGGACCCACCTAGTCCTCCCTCGTATATTCGCCTTCAGTGTGCTTCTGTCGGGCCCCGGGGACCTCCAAAAACGATCCGGCTGGAAAATGCCGATCCGACTGGACCCCGTTAGGGTTAGGTCGGGCATGTACCCCATGCAGGCGAAATATGGAAAAATTGTCAATTTTAGAAAGTCGTCCCCCGACTATTTTTTCCATATCTACTTTTGAACACTCCTCCTGTAGGGAGACAGGCCCGATCGACGTTAGGGGCCCAGGGGCCTAGTGCGAGCCGAGTGCTCAGGGAAGCCAGGAGCAGCGAGCCTTGGCAGCCCACCGCGTTCTTACCTGCCGTCCGCCCTCGCCCGCTGCCGCCTTCGCCCGCCCCCCCGCCCGCCGCCGCCGCCTGCGTCTTTGTCGCCGTCGGCCAGCTCTGTGCGCTTCCGAAGCTTCCGGCAAGCTTCGGGCGCACCGGTGTGTTTCATCCGCCACGCCTCCTGCAGAGCTACCCGGGGCGCCCAGGGAGACTTGGACCCGAGATCCTGGCGACCCAATTTTTCGAGCTGGGCGTTCTCGCTCAATGTCTGGCCCCGCGATCCTCACAGGTCGATCTGGCTCGAAAAATGACGCAGAAAGATCGGATCCGGGGGTCTGGTCGTGACTTTTGCGATGTTGCATGTTTTGCAACGTCGGATCTCAGAAAAAAAAATATCCCGGCAACGCAACCTAACAGCGATGTGTAGGAGCATATCTGGAAGCATTCCCCTTACGATTCAGACAAGAATCCAGTTGTAGAGTTCTGCTGTTCTCGCAGTCGTAGTCGCATTCGCGATGACAGTCGCAGTGGCAACGGCAGTCGCAGTCACAGCCTCAGCCTCAGCCTGCCTCAGCCTCAGCCTCAGCCTCAGCCTCAGCCTCAGCCTCAGCCTGCCTCAGCCTGCCTCAGCCTCAGCCTCAGCAGCCTCAGCCCAGCCTCAGTCCTCAGCCTCCTCCTCAGCCTGCATGCTCACCCTCAGCGCTCAGCCTCAGCCTGCCTCAGCTCTCTGCCTCAGCCTGGCCTCTGCCTCAGACTCAGCCTCAGCCTCAGCCTGCCTCAGCCTCAGCCTCAGCCTCAGCCTCCTGCCTCAGCCTCAGCCTCAGCCTGCTTCAGCCTCAGCCTCAGTCTGCCTCGGCCTCAGCCTCGCCTGCCTCAGCCTCAGCCTGCTGCCTCAGCCTCAGCCTCAGCCTGCCTCAGCATCAGCCTGCCTCAGCCTCAGCCTCAGCCTGCCTCAGCCTCAGCCTCAGCCTCAGCCTGCTTCAGCCTCAGCCTCAGTCTGCCTTCAGCCTCGGCCTCAGCCTCAGCCTGCCTCAGCCTCAGCCTGCATCAGCCTCAGCCTCAGCCTCAGCCTGCCTCAGCATCAGCCTGCTCAGCCTCAGCCTCACTCAGCCTGCCTCAGCCTCAGCCTCAGCCTGCTTCAGCCTCAGCCTCAGTCTGCCTTCAGCCTCGGCCTCAGCCTCAGCCTGCCTCAGCCTCAGCCTGCCCCAGCCTCAGCCTCAGCCTGCCTCAGCATTCAAAATGTGGCCCGGGAATAAATGGGAACTCGAAGAACACGAAGTGGCCTACAGTTGGCTCCGGGCACCCAAAATGTGCCCGGGAATGGAGTTCTGGAAACTCGAAGACCACGAAGTGGCCTATACAGTTGGCTCCGAGCATCCAAAATGTGGCCCGGGAATGGAGTTCTGGGAACTCGAAGACCACGAAGTGGCCTACAGTTGGCTCCGGGCATCCAAAATGTACGCCGGGAATGGAGTTCTGGGAACTCGAAGACCACGAAGTGGCCTACAGTTGGCTCCGGGCATCCAAAATGTACGCCGGGACTGGAGTTCTAGCAGCGCCAAGAGCGATTTTGCGAGGATGTCCCAGGCGATTTGGGCTTCGACGGCAGCCGCCCCGGGTCCCGCCCCGACCCCCCTGAGGAGTCATGATGCTCTCTTTTGACCCTACTAGAAACTTATCAGTCTTCGCTGTCAGGTAAAAGGAGGTCCGGAGAACGCGATGC